AGGAATTATACATTTAATATAGGAAAAAAAAATATTATTTTATGAAAATGAATAACAAAATAGTAGTAAAAAAATTTTAGTAATCGAATTAAAATAACCAACTTAAATATAATAAGTAATTTACTAAACATGCTACGAGCTAATATAACATTTGCTGGGGACAAGCGTGGCCCAGTGGATAGCTTGACCACACTGTGAATCCATAGGTGGACAAGGACTGGTCTGTTGTAGTCGTGTTTGAGATAACTTTTATTCTCTGAAAGTAACCTATATTTATATAGGTACACAAAATAACATTAATGCTAATACTTTATTTTTCTAAACATTTCAATAGACACATCAAACACCATGCAGAAAAACTTAATTACTCCATTGGCTTGGTGGTTATGGCGCTCGACTCTTAATATGCGGGTTCGAATCCTTGTTACCGAACACGCTCGCTCTTTCAGCCGTGGGAGCATTACAATATGACGGTCAATCCCACTATTCGTTGATGAAAGAGTAGTTCAAGAGTTGACGGTAAGTGGCGTTATCTAACTAGGAACGATTAGTGCAGATAACCCTCGAATAGCTTTGGGCGAAATTCAAACCAAACCAATTGTTTCAGTAAGTCGTGTTTTACGACCATCAAATAAGTTGATCAATATTTTAGTGGGACGTCGCTCAATTCCCAAAAGTGTAATTAGCCACACTTTTAAAATCGGCTATTAAAAATCCGGTCAATAATAAAAAAATATATTAAATATAAGTAAGTAAATGTATTTAGAAACTTTTAAAAAGTGCTTCGTTTATCTGGCACCATCATCACCAGTAATTGCAAACATTTCACCTGGTTATTCATGGAACCATGAGGTTGCAGTGGTTAACTCAATAAAACGTTGTCTGTTTCTGTTTACATTCTTAATTTTAGGTGTTGAAATGAAAACAGTTTAAATATTTTGCATATATTACCGAATTGGAAAAGTAATATTCTATAAAAACAAAAAATAATAATAAGAGTTTTGCATTGCTTTAACTGTATTGTTAGCTTAAATTTCCAAGTGATTATGATAAATTTAACTTAATACTTTAAATATTCTTGTTAATGATCCACTTCTGGATGCTTTGGTGTTAATTATATTAATATATTGAACAAAGCAAAGCCCCATTCTTGAAAAATATTCGCGTCTAGAGCTAAAGTAGGAAGAAGAACAGAAATGCTAACTGGACGTCACGTTACACGTCAAAATGCCACGTCTTTAACAATTCGACCGACTGAGGGCTCTATTTTGTGATAATATTGTGCTCGAACTTTAAGAATATGGCTGAGCGTCGAAGGTGGAAGAAAAAAAAAGAGGTTAGGAAAATTTAAAATACATAAATGTTTAAGGATTTGCTTTTCTTGATGGTTGTACATTATATTATAAAAACTATATTTTGTGTTTTTAACCTAAAATTTTACATATACTGTCACAAAACCAAAATGAAATTATTACAAATTATTGTCATATGTTAAGCGTTAGTGTTAATAATTAATGTTACTGTTAGCAACTTACATAGCTTCGCGTTCAACTTTTAAGTTTGATATATCATATGTAACTCCTTCAGGCTTACTATAAGCATAATACCGACAACAGTAATACTAATTACTATCAGTAATACTTAAGTGTTGGTTTGCTGGGTTTTCAGAACCATTCATAAATACAATATTATGAAAATTGTATTTTTCAAAATTTGTTTATGACTATGATAAAGTTTATCTACCTGTTGATGTCGAAATTCTCAATCTTATTTGTAATTTGTATGAAAGTTAAAACATAGTTTATAATTTATCATTTTATACACTAGCCTAGCAGTATGCATAGGTCATATTCATAGCTCATTTTAAAAGTAGAATTTTGTTAAAGTTACCACAACTACCATTGTATGATTTAGTCTAACATTGTATCAGTTAGAGACGAGTTGTTGTTTTTCAAGTTTAACATTGAACATTAAAAGTTTAATACCAGTGTTAGCCAAATTTTCAGATGCTAAATTTAAAATGGATCATTAAACTGTTATCACATTAGATACACTAGCATATATTCCACTTAAAGCAAGAGTCCATCTTATGATTTATTTGTTAAGAGTAGGCTGAAGAATTAGCTTAGAAAGGCTAGTAGATTGTATATTTTTCAATCATAATTCTTTGTAAATAAATATTTGGTCAGAGCATTCATTGTTATGATGTGTGATTAAAACTGCATGAAAATGTATTTTTTTGAATTCATCTTTTGTTCATTATAAACCCTATGTATTCTTAGTTGTAAGGTAATAAAAATAAGGTTATACTTGTAATGATTGGGTTTCAGTAGTAGTAACTGTAGTGTAGACCAGGATTCTCCAAACTGTTTGTCACGACACAGTATTAGAACAACAACCAAAAATACTGCATGTTACAGCAGGGGTGTCATGCATATCAAGGTAAGTGGGTTAGGATGTTATCAGTTAAAAAAGTTAGGAACCACTGCTGTAGAATTATGTCCTTTACGTAATGGTGTGTGTCTTTTTTTTTAATAATTGTTTTTATGTGACTAGTATTCATTTTACCAATATTCATATCTTCATCAACAAGTTACTGTTTCAAGTTTTTTATTGTTTACTTTTAATTTTTCTTGTCATATTTTAAATTAGGTTATGAAAAATTGTATAGAAGTTATCAATTGATACTACAGAACAAACTAAATTTTTATTTGTATAAATAGTGGATATTTGTAGAAGTTAGACTAGTTGTAGGTTGTCCAACTAGTAGCCCACAAGAGTTCCAACTGACCTGCAAACTGTCAGATAAACATGAAAAATGAAGCTAAAAAAACAAAGCTAATTTCTATACTTTTGATAGTAAGGTATAGTTATTTAATTTAACATAACATAACGTTTTGGGAAAACGTGGGACCTATTGGTCCATCTTGGCTGTTCCATCCTCTAAACTAAACTAAAACTATTAATAAACATATTTAAAAAAAAATCTTAAAGCCAGCCTTTATCATTCATATACCTATCAAGCTTTTTCTTAAACTCACTTAAATTTACTGTCTCCACAAAATCTGAAGGCAACCCATTTCAAAGGCCAACCACCCTGTTAGAAAAATAAAACTGGCTTAGCTGAAGATGACTCCTACCTTGCCAAAATTTATATTAGTGTCCCCTAGTCCTACTATTCTCACC